GTTCATAGCGTATACAATAGTAAACTTTTTATAGGGCAGCAGAAGAGGAACACTTCCAGTAAGCCGAGAAGGGTAGTTTACTCTTTACGTGTGTGTCTTTGGCCAGAAGTTTAAAAGGACTCAGGATGCTTCGTATTCTTTGATTTATGGAGGACTCTTTCTTTTCTCTTTTCCTGCTTCCTTCCCCTGCGAAGGGTTTACCGATGGCCTGGACAAGTGTGGTTTTGCTTTGAAGGTGTTTGAGCCGAGCGTGCCAGCAGTCAGCTGCACGTGTTTCTGCTGGCGGCTGTGCAGGGAAGGTGGACCTGGGCTCAAGTAGCAGGTGCTAAAAGCCGAGCCTGGGGGCGAAAGCTCTCCATTTGTGTGTTTTCCATTCTTCTAACTGTGCCCGCTGCAGCTGTTTCTCTTGGTTTTACAAGCTTTGCTCAGAAATGTTTTACAGTCAAAGCGTTGAAATGTTGCTTTTTCTGAGCCTTTGAGCTAAGGATATTCTTGTGGTTTGAGGCACAGCTTGGGGAGGAATTTGGGGGACGAGCACTGCAAAGGGACGGATGGCCCGGTGATTTAAGTACCAGCCTTTCTTGATTTCTTAAGTCAGATGTTTGAATGCCTTGTGCATTTCCAGATGTCGCTTTTTTTTCTTAGATCCTTTTCATTGCCTTGGTCTCACGGGCCTTTTTGGAGCTGCTGGTTAGCCATGCCGTGTTAACTGACCTCAGGGAAACGGAGGCCTCATTCTGGGGTGCAGAGCAGTAGATGTTGAGCTGGACTTGCTACTGTTATGCCCACCTCATCTATACTTACAGAGCTATCTGCATTTATATAGCTAAAGCAGACTAGTAGAAGCTTCCTCATCTCTGTCGTCTTCCTAACGTGGCCTTTCTTTTTCCAGACTAAGCAAATCCAACCTGTCCAACCTTTACTTGCTGTGCTGAGCTCCCTCTATCTGTAGGTGAACCTTCTGTCCACTTAAGTGGATATCCAGCTCACAGGAGCCAGGTAAAACCGAGTCCATACGCTGTGTTTTGCCTCTTCCTGACTCTTAGTCTGTCTTTACTATATGCTGCTCTGTCTTAGCAGCCCTTGTTGCTTCTAGGTGCCAGAGGAGGGCCAAGGTATGTATCCCCCAGGCCTTGTGTTTCATTCCCAGGGCGTTTCTGCCGTTCCTGTCTTAATGGATCCCTTCAGCTGACCTTGGAGTTCCAGCTTAAGCCATGGCATTAAATCAGCTCTTTTTTAGCAGCCATTTCATTCCTCCATCAGCAGCTATTTCAAACAGAGGGTCCTTACAGCATGGACGAGTTATGCACCTCCAGACTAACGTCCAGGACATCGTAGCCTTTGCAGTCTGTCTCTTTGCATTGGGCATTATCGAAGCACTTGAACGTCTGAGCCCAGGAGGTCACTTTATTTCTGGTCTCAGCTAAAGCGTAAGGAGATGGTTCAGTGATGGGTTTGTTTTTCTTTCTTATTAAGGCTATTTCTTCATGAAATAGCAGAATGGAAATAGTAACTCCTCAGCCATCTGAAAAAAAAGAAGTCTATTTGTGTTTCTTGCTGGTTTTATTTCTACCTGGGAGCAGGCGTGTGTGTGCTTTCCATGTGGCACAAGGATCTCTAATGCTTAGTCCTTTAATAGTATGAAAAATCATCTGTGATCTGCTGGTCAAGGTCAGCTTTGGACCAGCACATATTTGGAGTTCCTGTGTCAGAAGTGTGAGCTGCTAATCCTGATCTAGCAAGTCTGCTTGATGGAAAGGTCAATTTGCCGTAGAAATCTGGGTTCTACTTGGGTAGGATTTTTCAGTAAAGCTTGGCGTGACACCCACCAAGTTACAACTGCAGTTGTAAGAGCTGAGGAGTTACTTTGCTACTCGCCATTTAATAACTGTTGCTCATGCGTGCCCCTGCGTGCATTGTGCAAATGCAGTGTCCGTCCCCCAAAGTGGGTGTTGGTGGTGACTTAAGAGGTGTGGGTTGAAAGTAGGGAGGAAAAGGTGGGTTACTCTGTTTTGATATTTTCTTTTGGAGTATCTCAGAGTATCAGCTGCTCTCCCAGGCAGGATGCTGAGCCAGATGGACCAGTCTTGACAGTTCTTCTCTTCCCAGGATGGGTCCCCACACTAATAGACTGGCAAAAAGGGATGTAGAGCACAGTGACTTTAGTCCTCCTTCTGTTACACCTAGCTTTGGTTTCACTTTCTTCTTTCTTGTCCCCTTTCCTATCTAATTTCTCTTTTTTGGTATGCTCTGTGGTTTTGGGTATGTCTTCTCCCTTTTCTAGCCGTGAGGATCTCACTGTCTGAGCACCATGTGACGGAGCAAGTTGGCTTCTTCTCAGGAGCTTGCATGGAGTTGTAGCCGGCGTCAGCGCAGGTGGGGCAAAATTGATGGAGCTGTTCTCAGATCCTTCTCAAAGCGGAAAGCAGTGAGCTGCCAGATTAAGTAAAAAAAAATTAAAAAAAATCCATCAACGGTGTTTTGCAACTGTGGGAACCAAGACCTGTAAGCACTCACATAATCGCAATCTGTGCACACATGATCAGATTTATAGATGTTACTTCTAGGCCTTATTGCCTAGTTCTGGTGGTTTTATGAAAATAAACGAGCTAGAAATGGTAGGTTGTTTGTATGGGACCTCTCAGCATTTGTCAGCTCTCGATCTGCTCTTGAACTGTCTGGAAATGTGTACTGTCTTCTCTAAGTTCAGCTTTGCTTGACTTTTTTTTTTGCTATTTTAGGAACATTCCTAAGAAACAGAAAGCTTGTTCTTTGCTTTAAAGGATGGTAAGTGACTATTGTTGAGGTGAATTTCAAGTCAATGTTCAGTCTGATCTCCCTAGATTCCTGGTTGTACTGTTTGCAGCTCTGTCCCCAAGTCTCTGAACTTCTGTTGCTTGTCAAACATTTTCTCAATTAGGAAAGCAGGTTGTATAAGAAAACATGTTAATGAAAAACTATGTTAATGAAAGCTCTTGCCCCAGAGGAGCCACAGTTCAACACTTTTTAATTTGGTTGGGGATGGCTGGAGGGTTTAACATGATACAGGGTGTTAAACTCTACTGATGGCTGGAGATAAAAACTCTTTTAAGCAATTGTATTTCAAACAAGGCCTTTTCCCAGGCAGGAATGTGCTGTGACATTTTGTCCTCTAAGACAGGTAGAAGCTAGGCTTTGGATCTCTGGCACTACGTTGTACCAACATCAGTACTCAGGGTCCCTGGTGAGGCCGAGTGTAAAGGCCATGTCTCCCCATTTCCAGTACTGTTACTGGGATCACCAGGAGCGTTGACCGTGCTCCAGTAAGACCATGCCCTGAGGCATAGCAGGTCTTACTGCTGCACCAAGGCTTGTTTTCAGGTTTTTTAATGGCCTTTCCTTTTGCAGCTGGTCTCTCCTAGGTGTGCATCCTTAAAGACCTGCAGGTAGGCACCTTGTTCCGTGCTGAAGAAGGGAGCATCACGTTGCAGCCCTGGTCCCGATGATGGCTACCTGCCATTCCTTTGCCCCGGTTACCTTTAGGTGTTGCTATTCCTGACTCTCCACTCACGTTGTTCCAGTTGCATGGGGAAAGACGCCCTTGGCCCAAATGCCTCGCCTGAGAAGAATGCAGACAGTCTGGCAGAGCGCAGGTTAAATAAAGTTTGCCTTGGCAGGGCCCATGCTCTTGGATGTACTATGAGCTGCCGGGGCGTAGTGGTGACGGAATTGCAAGCACGAACACCAGCTGCCAAGAGGAACGGGTCTCCTGGCCCTGCTTGCGGACTCTTCTCCTCTGGGACTCTTGAAGTCCTGGCGAAATCACAAGCCTTCTCCCAACCCCAACCCTGTGCCGATGCTCCCCTTTTTCCTCCGGAGCCTCCTGCTAATGAGGATGGTGGCAGCAGGCTATTGCCATCGGTGCTGTGCCTCTGAGTCCTGATCTTGCTAAATTGATGGGGACCCTCCTGTTGGTCTCTGTGCCATCAGGGATTCGTCCACAGCCTCTCCCTGTTCTGGGGGGGGAAAGATTTTGGGCAGTGGCGAGTTTTGGCTGATGGCTGTGGATTTTGCTATTACACTGGGAAGTGATTTCATGTCTAGGAAAGAGGGTCTGCCTGATTGATTTAGAAACTTTCCCTGGCCAGCGCTTGGGTGGTGTGGACACATCTCCCCTGTGCAGGCTGCAAACGCCTCTGAGCCCTTTCATGGAGCAGCATTCCCGTGGCCTCAGGATTTGCAGGTCGTTACTGTATAAAGGGCACAGTCTTGGCCCGGCAAGGAGGGCTGACCAGCAGTTCTGTTGGCAGGTACCTAATTTTCCTTTTAATAGGTGTGCAGCGCGGGGTTTTGGATGGAAGGTGACGATGATTTCACTACCTGCCATCAGTGGATGGAGCAGGGCTGGGCAGCAGGGAAGCAGGAGGATGAGAGGAGTGCGAAGCAGCAGGATATTTGTGCCTTGCCATCCTGGGAGCATGCGTTTTCGCCTCCAGGCGAGACACCCTTGACACTTTTGGTAGCAGAGGGACTGAGGAGAGGAGCGCTGGTTGTTGGAACATGCTCATGTCCTTTCAGTCAGTCATGGGGGTTGTTTTAGAGTTAAAACACTAGTTTTGGTGGTTCTTCCAGCTCTGTCTTGACTTGTGCATGGCCATAACTTAGGAGGTTAAGGCCAGTCATATCCTTTAGCTGTGTTCCCTTTAGAGACCAGTTAGTCATTTGGTTTCCTGCGGGCAGCAGGGCGATGGAGCATTTCATGGTTTTCGCTTTTCCTCTGTGACCTTACGTATGCGTTTCTGCCTGTAAGATAGGGAACATACATCTATTTCTGATGCATGGGAAACTCAGCTAATTATACTTGTGAAAACGTTTAAGGTGTAGACTTGGAAACTTTATTACCTTACACAGCAAGCTGATTTTCCCCTCCAGGGCTTCTGATCAGCAGAAGGCTCCTGAGTTGGTACCAAGCCTGACTTTTCCTGACCTTTCTCTCTTTCTCTTTCTCCCTGTGCCCGCAGGTGGCTGGAAGTCCAGGTGGTTAACCTGACCTGCACCCAGCGTTGGGTCCAGTACCTCCAGTTGCTACAGGAATCCATCTGGCCTGGAGGAGTTTTACCAGCAGTGCCTAAACCAGCCAGGACAGAGGAACAGAAGAAAGCAGCAGCAGAGCAGGCCCTGCAGAGCCTGATGGGGATCTTGCCCAGTAAGTGTGTCCCAGAGATGTCAGCTGCCCTTGAGAAAAGAGCAGTGGGGGAGGCTGGGGAACCCTCCAGTGCGTTGGGATCTTTAGAAACGTGATTAAACACAGAGATGGAGCGTGCTCGTGCCAAGGCACTGGGAAACGTTCATGACCTTTGAGGTTTGACTGGTTTCCTGCAAGCAAAAACCACAATTTCCCAGTTCTAGATAGTTTGCGTAAGTATTCAGGGAGCAGTGCAGCTCAGGGAGAAAGGACACGTATCTTGGTGATTCCCAGATGCAGACTGACCGTGTACTCTGTGCTTAGTGCTGGTGCTGCCCTTCAAACAAGGTAGGGCTCAGGAAAGCCAGCGCCATGCCTTGCTCCCGCCTGCTGCCAAAGGGTACTGTTGCTAAGAAGAGTCTTAAGGCAAAGCCTTTGGCCTCTTGCTCTAAAGAGTGGCTTTTCCACTGGACTGAAATCACGAGCCCAGCTGCACTGGATTCCCCTCTCTTGAAGTTTGACACGGGGACCTTTGACATTAAAGCAGCTGCTGCCTAATCCATGTGAGTGCAGTCTGAACTTTTAACTCCTTGCTGCAGAGTAAGAGGCCCTTACTATCCTTTGGGGAGGAAAAAGCGCTACCAGTATATGCCCTTCCAGGCTGGAATGCTTTCCTGGCATTTGGTCCTGTCCCTGGCTGTTTTCTTGTGTGGTAATGATGGCCATGAGATGTCTCAGGCTCAGAGCACCATCACAAACCTGAATTAGTACCCACCAGCAGAAGACCAACCCCGTTTTAGTACCATGGAAACATGCAGTTTCTAAAGCTGTCTCTGACGTTGACAGATGTGATCCAAGAAATCCTTGGAACCAGTAAATGTCGGATGAGCTGGAGTCTGGTACTGGAGTCCCTGGGCCAGCCTGTGATAAACAGGTATGTGGATTATAGTCCCTTTACCCTGATGGCCTTTGTGTTGGGACTTGTAAGCTACGCTCAGGGCTTTGCTGTGAGATTCACGCTGCCAGCTTCTTGGCCCAGAATGTATCTGGCTAATTTTCCTATAGACTTAGGCTACCAAAGGGCGTCTGGCTTGCTTGTTATGGAGATGCATGTCTAGGACCTTGATCTGGCTGGAGATTGAGCCAGTCTTAGTTATGTTGTTGGGCCTGCTTAGTTTGTGGATGTCAGGGGACTGTCAGAGGAAACAACAAACAAAACCAGGATTTGGTTTTGGTTTTAGAGGAGCTTAGGCAGCTGCATATATGTGTAGATAGTGGTTTTTCTGGTTACCCATCTCCGTGCATTTGGACAGCAATGTTTTTGTGATTAACTGCAGAGAAATGCTTGTGCCACCTCACTCCAGGAGATGCATTTGTGTTTTCTGTGCTGCTCAGCAGTGTCAAACACCCACTGGTTTGGGGGGGGTGAAAAAAAAAAAACCTGAACCATCCCTTAAAACATTTCTTCTAGGATGCGAGATCTCTTGTCTTTCCCCCGATAGCAGTAACAATATTTCTTCCTTGCGTGAGCTTTGGCTTCTGCGTGTCTGGAGCTGATCTCCCAGCTCTGCTGTGCCCTGACCAGCCTAAGCTTTGTCTTTTTTCCATTTCAGGCACCTGGTTTTCTGCCTCTTGGACATTCTGCTGGAATTCTTGGTTCTGAAGGGCTCCAGCAATGAGCTTGAGACTGCAGCTGTTGTGCTGTCTGCTTCTAGTGGCCTGGAGAAAGCAGGCATTTCAGCACATTAACCAGGGCTGGTGTAGCCAGCAGTGGAGGAGAGAAGCAGCCGCCGGCATGGGATGATTTGATTTTCAGTGTTTACTGAACATGTCTGGGAGCTTCTTGTAAAGAATTTTTCCAGGCAGTGCTAAACAAGGCTGCTTCCAGGCTTCTCCGTTTTGGCTGAGTGATGGATTAAACCCAGTATCAGGGACTGAAGATGCTTTTCTGCCATGTAGTGTCTGTTCTGTTGCTGACCTGATGGAGAGCCTGGAGTGAAGATGCCTGACCTCTGCAGAGCTGGATGGTCTGAGAAGGATAGCAGGCTGTCCACAAACCCTGTTGTCTCATCCCATGTTTCTGAACATCTCTAACACCCAAAGGCAGACAGCATGTAAGATTTGTCTTTATGGCCTCAGGCTGTGCCTGGCACTGCAATGCAGAGACTTGTCGTCATGTTCTCTTGTTGATAGGTGTTTCTTCAGGACAGGTGAAGGGAGGACCAAGTGCTGTCCCTGTTCTCTAAGCAGCCTGCCCTGTACCTATGCCACGCCATCCATTTAACCAGGAGGAAGATGAGGAGAGAATGGAGCATGGAGATGCGATGATGGCCCTGAAGTCAGTGTTGGGGACCCATCCTCACTGCATGGATAAGTGGGAGGTTGAAAGTGGTGCAGAAATCAAAGCTGCTGTCCTGCCTTAGGGACAAAGATCCTGCTGCCACTGCTGACATGGTCTTGTTCTGGCATCTTTTGCTGCCTGAACTGTAGGATGCCAGTAGGGTAGACTGCAGTCCTGGAAAAGAGAACCAGGCTAAAGAGGAATGGTAGCTTAGTTGGACTTCAGGATTACCTTGTGTTTTGCCTACTGAGTCACCTTTTAGTCCCAGAGGCTGTCACCTGGAAGGCAGAGGAGAAAAGGTGCTGGAGTGTGACACAGGGCAAGCAAAGCCACTGCCACACAAAAGTGGTTGTCATAGTAAGCTCTGGAAGAGGAGTGAGCGCCTCTGAGCCCAAGAGGAATACCAGACCCATGCCATGGCCAGCCAGTGCGTTAGCCCACAGCAGTGTGCTTGTGAGCACCACCTAAGCTCTGTTGTTGATTGCTGTGTCACCATGCTTTGGTTTACTACGCCTGCTATGGTAACAGCTGTGTGCAGAGGGCTCTAGCTAGCTTGTCAGGTCACGATGTCCAGTGCCACCCAGCACAGAGTGGCATGTTGACCTAGCAGCTGCTTTTCCGGGTTATCTGAGACTTGAGTGGTTTTGCCTAGCTGTCAGACTTGTGACAGGGCAGATGGACACAGAGAATGTGCACCAGCAGACCAGTTTGGTGTTATTTCCTGAGAGAAACGTGAACCGACCGATGTTGGACTTTGCTGATCGAGGGAATGCTGCTCCTGGTGTTCTCCACAGATTAAAGCACTTAGAGGAGACCTCGCAAGAGGGAAGCATGCAGGATCTCAGCTAGTGTCTGTGTTAGAGTACCAAACTGTGTGTTTCATATAGCCTTTTCTTTCTTGGAGCTGGATACTCTGTGGCGTGTTGGAGAGACGGTCGTGTAACTCCAACATGTGTACTACTGAAAGTAGAGACTCTGCTCTTTCCAGAGGCAGCTGCTTAAGAATGGACATGCAACAGTGTGCGCTTCTCTGTTCTTCTGTTGTTTGTGTGCAAATAGAGGGAAGAACTAGCTTGCTGCCAGCAAGTATGTTTTTAGGGAGCTCCAAGGACATCCCAAGGCTAAGCAGAATCCAATATAATGAAGCCAAGTGGTTTTGCATTGTTTATTGGGCAAAGAGATGGACAATTTTCTGTACGGGATAATCCCAAATGGCCAAGCAGCAGGTTGGGAAGCAGGACTCCTTAAGCACAATATCTGTTTGGAGCAGCCGCTTCGCTCTGTCCTTCACTGCCAGGGTTCTGTTTCCCTTCCCTCTGCTTCTCCTTCTGTTGACTACATGAGCTGTCTTGAGGAGTGAGAGAAGGAGCCATCGGCCAGGGATGGTGCAACCTTGCCCTGTTGTGCTCGGTGGCTTCCCAGATGCTCTTGGTGCACTTGCTTGCTATTGCTTCTCCATTAATTTTATGGGCTTGGAGCTCCAAGACTGTAATGTGTCATTGATTAGGGATATCATTAAGAGACTGTTTGCTGGGAAAGATCATTCAGAGAGGGACTGGGTCTATCTAGCACAGTCCTTACAGATACTGGATGGGACATTGGAAGGACAAGCTTACGCTTCTCCTTTGCCAGGAAGCCCTAGCATGTCTGCCATTAACCCTGACTTCTAACATTATGTGAGACACAATATTCATGTCTCCCATTGGAAATGATTTGCCATGTCCACTGGTGGGTTCCAAGGAGCATAGTGTGAGAGCTGGTGCTTTGCTGGGACGGTGTGACAGTGACTTGCGGTTGTAGCAAACAACTGCTTGGTCTGTGCATCCTCTGCACCTTTCACACGGGGAGCCTGCGCTTTGCAGACTTGCTCACGTGGCCATGTAGCAATGTCTCCTCTGTGTTTACGTGAGAGGAGCTGGGGCAGAGAGATGAAGTAGGTTTACTTGCATGTGCTCTTAAATCAGCAGCAGAGTTGGAACAGACCCCCAGGAGTCTGGATTGAAAGATCTTTGTTTTAATCTCCTGAACCTGCTTTCTTTTCTTACAGCGAGGAAAACAGAAACCAGGGTTGCCGGAGCCCTTTCTCATGCTCTTACTGGCTAGGCTTCAAACTCCCGTTCTCTTCTTCATAGATCTTAGTCCATTCTCACAGCTGAGGTGAAGCTGCCCTGGAACAGCGTAGGGATAAGTAGCCCCTCTCTGTATCTTATTGTTAAGGAATACAAAATCCAATAAAAAGTTCAGCTTTTTTTCTAATGTCAGTTCTTTACCTCACTGTAATTGTTAGATTAAATTGAGCACGATGCTGGCAAAGGCAAACTTCAGCATTCAGGTGGGCTGAAAGTTTATTTCTATTGAATTAAGGCTAAAAATACCACTTTAGTAAAACAAGCAAGGCCAACAAAAAACATTTAACTTGCTCTGTGTGTCATGCTCCCAGCAAGCTCCCTTTTTCTGCAGGAATTTGTGCAGAAGGCTCGAGCCACCTCTTGCTAAAGGGAGGGTGGTGAGAGCGGCCGGATTTGATGTCAGGAAAAAGCTGCAGGCTTCTGTCACGTTGGGTATAGAGCAGTACATGGTTCAGGTGGGGGGTGCTCAGCTCTTTAGGGCCTACTGGCCATACACAGTTGGAAAGCAGCACCGTAAGCTAAATAGCAGGTTTTGTGTTGAGCCAGAGCTTCTTTTTAGATTGTTTTCAGGAAACACGTGTGCTGCCACTCCCTGACATTTCCTGTGTTCAGACTCCTGGATTGACCATTCGAGTCTGCGTAGGAGAGCGCTGTCTTGAAAACCTAGTTTGTTGTTAAATGGGGAGCAAACCGGTGCTCCCAACTTCTTGTAATTTGTGTCTGACTCTGTATACAATAATACTCAGTTTCAAACTTGTTTCTGTGTTTGGGTTTAAAACTTGCCTTTGCTGAGGAAAACTGCCTGCAAGACAGCCCTTGGGAAGGGAAGAGCAAGTAGGGGAGAGGCAAGAAAGCCTGGGTGGGAGTGGGAATAGGGGAGCAGGCATCTCCCCAAGTGCCTGGCAATGGCTCTGAGCCAGTGGGACTGCTCAGACATGGGAAAGACCAAAGTTCTCAGCAGCTTGGTCAGAAATAAGAACAGTTTTCCCATCTCTGGTAGCATCAGCATTGTTTCTTTCTCCATGACAAGCAAACTTCTTGATTTGGGCTTTCCAGGGAGTGTAAAACCAGAGAAGCAATGTGGAGATCTTTGGCCTTTCTCCTGGAAGAAAGCGAAAGATGCCCAGAGAAGAGAAGCAGGGGTTGTGCAGGCCCATCTCCACATCCCTGAACTTAGGAAATTCACCTTGATAGCAGTCCTGGAGGAGGAAAGTTGGTAAGCTATACGGAAATAGAGAATGTCTGAAAATGAGAAATTCCACATGAAATTTAAAATATTACGTTGAAGAAAAAATAAAGGGAGGAAGAAAAACCTGATACAATGACTGCTTGGGTCATGTGTTATTCTGGATTAGCTCTGCTGCATAAAGATCCCAAACACCCTATGAAATCCATTACCTACAAGTGAACGTTTCTACAGCATGTGATGGGGGGATCAGAGCTGAAGCCAAGTTCCCCTCTGTAATATCCACCCCGGGGTAGATTGGTCCATTTCCAGTGTCAACAGCCAGAGGATTAAGCGTTTATCTCTGTGGAACAGTGGATAATTAATACCAGATCGAACTAGGGGCTATGCTTGAGAGAGCTTGCTTGTGACTCTATTTGTGACTGAGCGTGGCTTTGTTATCTGCAGGCGAGTTACGGGGAGCGGGAGGATGGTTTTTTTGCTTTCTGTACCGCAAGGTGCAGGCATTGCCTCGGTGATATGTGCCTTGTAGCAGAGCATCGATAGCTACAGGGCTTTGTGCCGTGATGGCATTGGGCTTCCCAAAGGAAGCTGAGGGCGAGTTCTTCTGTCACTGCCACAGGCAGTAGGGATTAGGTGACCATCAGGAGATGTCTTCTTCCAACCGAATGCTGGAAGAATGCAATTGGGATGCTGTGATTTGCCATCTTCTGGATTTCAATGTAAAATCCAGGCTTTGGCGCTTCTGGCTTGCTTGAAATAAATACTGTTATCCTGGCCGTGGTCCAGTTCAGGTAATTATATTCTTCCTACCTTAATGCTACTCCAGCCCCCTGTCTCCACTGGATATGCTATACTCTAATTCCTGTCTGGAACTTGCTTATTATGTTACCAAGTCTTTTTATTATTTTTTTTCCCCTGAGTACAACTTGTGCACAGAGCACTAGCCAGCCCCCATCACTTTGAGCTGCTAAAATAGTCGAGAGAACCAGTCGTTTGACTGTGCCTGGTGTTGTCCTGGAGCATCTCTCCTGCCTCATAAGCCTGGTGAGCTGGGAAGGCGGGTGACACAAAAGGTGAGAGTAAATGTGGCCGTCCTGACTAATACAGTGAACTGCTAGAAACCTGCTCCTCTGAGTGTGAAAACGGGAGGAAACTCAGGACTCCTGGGTGGTTGTTTTACCTTCCCATGTTGCCATTTCTTCAAGGATGTTGATGACTAAAGTGTGTCCTTGCCGACACAGAGGTGAGG